CTGCTGAGTCACTAAGCTGTTCTTTTAATGAACGTACTTTCACAAGAGTCATGATTTGTGTCAGCAAAACTTTGGCACAGACTCCATCTCTGTTCTGTGTGTATGTGGGTCATTCACAGTTGAACCAGTCATGCTTTGTCTGGCTCAATGAGCCGCATGTTTCTGTGGCTCCGTGATTCATCAGATCTTAATTTAAGATTCTGCATGTCAAAGTTGAGATTGACGCCAAGTAACATTTCCATCGCCTCCCAGCACTTGCATGAATGATGGTATTGTGACAGAGTGTTGAATGGTGCGAGCTGATTCCTGAAGCGTGCACTGTGAAGAGGAGATAGGGAGCCGACAGGGCAGCGCAGACAAGGGCAACTGGACCAGGGTGGAAGGAAAGCTGGGAGAGGAAGAGATGGAAGGACAAGCCTAGAAGAAGTTAAGTCAAAATGTGCTACAGTCCCCTGAGATTGTGGACGGGAATATGCAGGTGTACAAGACGGACAGAAGAACGTTAATGACAAAGGGCTTGTTGGAGGAGACAACAACCAGAAGGATGCATCTGGTGGTGAACTCGTCACATAAAGCCATGTTTGCCATGCTACCTCACTTTGTGGAAGAAGCTGCTCTGACTCGGAGGGAGATCTGTCTCATGTAAGCTTTCAGAGCGACATGCATTAGACACTTAATAGAGTAACTCAACGCTTAGTGGCAGTATGGGATGCTGGCAATATGCCATTCATTTATTTTAGCAGCATGAAACCTTTTATTTTTAGGCCAGGAGGTAGGGGTATCATGTCATTACTTCATGTCAAGCTTTGTAGGTATTTACCTTGTCATCTCCAAATCAGTCTTCTACATACATTTTTAAATAAATATTACACAGCAGAGGTGCTGAAACAAAAGGCCTCGTGATGGTCCTGCTCAGCCATACCAGGCTTTGAGTGTGTTGGTTGAAAGGGGAATGAGTCTGTGGTTAAACAAAGCTACACTCTGTTCTGTGTGAGGAAAAAAGCTCTCGTGTTCGCTGTGGCCTTCAGAACAAAGGCATGACCCAGGAGTGATGCGTCCAACACTGGAGAGGACAGAAGAGCCGCTGCTAAAACCTGAGCACATATGGACAGTTGTGGTTTGACGCTTGATTTGTCAGAGGTCAGCAATCTCTGTCAAGTGTGTTCATCATGCTATGAAGACGCGGATCAGTAAAAGCTGCCGGATCAGGACTCTACTGACTTTCAGTAAACAATGACGCGCCTTCCTGTCCTGCTCACTGGACCAGTGAGGGCTAAATAAGTACACAGCCTAGACCCAGCCGCTCACTGTACATTTAGTATCCTGACTGCAGCCATTTCATGTCCCTGTGTTTCAACATTTTTCAGTTGTTGGACATTGAAATGTAAAGCATTAAACCAATTTGGCTATGATGACAACTGCAACAGCATGGAGACTCTTACTCTGTGTACCTGTCTATGTGTCAGCCACATCAAACACAAATTTCATCACCTTGTGACAGACAGTAATGTGTGTGTGTGTTTGGATACAGGTTTTCTAAGAGTATGAGTTGTTTTAAGGGAGTTACCTACCTACCTGTCTTGTTACATTTATGTTTTTTGCCTGCTGACCAGTCAGTAAAATTTTTAAGACTGGAATCTGGACGTCTGGTTAATGAAGGGAATCTGAACACAGTGGTTTGCTACTGTGTGTACTGTACCGGGGAAAGCCAGATGTGCCAGTAGTAGTAGAAGTTCCTCTCCTGCTATGATATCAAAAGGCAGATCTTCATTCTCTTCTGAAAAGAAAGTGGGTAAACTGTGGAATAATGATGGAGTTTCCTGGATTCCTCCTCTCACTTGTGATTGTGTTATAGTTAAAAGTTTTGGTGGAATTTATTTCCCAGAGATTTCAGTTGCGCTGACTTTCACACCTGTGCATTTTCCAGCCTTCGTGAGAGCTTCTTCATGGTCAAAGGAGCCGCGCTCTTCCTCCAGCAGGGCGGCAGCACACAGGGTCCAAAGACCCCCACCCACCACAAACATGCAGGTAGGAACAAACACATGCAGCTTTGCTTCTTGTTCTTGCCCCTTTTCTCTGCACAAATTAGCCCCAGACATCATGCTATTTGCTGAGGCGGCTTTTTCCTCTGTGGGTTTGTCTGTATTTCCTTAAAACCTAGTTGGATCTGACCTGAAGTGTCCGGGACTGCTGACAAACCATTACAAAGAGATCGTGTCCCAAGTAGTTTGTTTAAAGCGAACTCAAAGTAACATACACCCAGTGTCTGTATATAATCTTTAGGAATGTATTTAAAAACTGCAGTTGGCTTCATCAGATTTAGCCAAGTGTTTTACCACCATTATGCCGCTGGTGCTGTTTGTCTGTACATCAAAGTGACATTAAAAATGATCTGAAAATATGGTCTAGTTGTTCAGTACAGTCCATCAGGTGGGGTTTTTAATAGACACTCTCTGTTTTACAAGTTGTCTATGTGATGTGCCGTTTGAGTTCATTTGAGGACAAACACAGGTCAATTTGTTACACACGCTGCTCACCAACATGGTTTAGCTCAGCTGGCAGGTCACAGGGTGTAGATTCATCATCACTGAGAAAAATCTGCAAACATTGTTCCTCCCACTGGAAAGAAATCCAATGAACAGAAGAAGATGAATGATCAGTTTGTAGCTGACCTTTGCGTTAGAATGCCCAGAAATGTGTCTCTGTAGTGAAGTCTGTTTGGGAATTGTGCTTTATTTTCTCTGTATTGTGAGGTTGGCTCTAAGTTACAGTGGAAGGAAATCCTTTTGTCTGTTAGGATTTTTGTGAACTTTATAAACTATTGATGTCCTGTCCAGCTGTCCAGACTGTGGTGCTAGACTTATCTGATTAAAGTCTTTTTTTGCTATTTTAATTTATTTAACCTTTATTTTGCCAGGAAGTCTCATTGAGATCAAGATCTCTTTTAAAGGGAGACAGATCAAGATCTCTTTTTAAAGGGACACCTGGACTGTGCTGAACTATGCTGGACTCTGCTTCTCCTTGTCTCACAGTACACTCACTCATTGTTCACTTTCAGGTGATTTACCTCAACATCTGCAGGTCATGTTTAAGATCCTCCGGTCTGAAGATCGAATCAAGCTGGTTGGTACAGTACTTGCACACCTAGTTCATTTTTCATACACTAAGTTTTTGGATAGTAGTTTAGTGCCTTTTGTGTGTGGTTGCTGTGCACTTAAAAGTCATTCATTATACTGACTATATAAAAGATGACAGATGTGATTGTACAAGTTCTAATATTTATTTTCAAGATAAAACCATTTTGGAGAGAAATTGTTTACTGAGAGTAATTTTGTGCATGATAACATAAGTAAATACTGGATATTTGTCTACCAAATTATGTTTTGTTACACAGGCTGTCAGGCTGGAGAGCGGATGGTCGGACCGGGTGCGCTATATGGTGGTTATCTACACTAACGGCCATCAAGATACAGAGGAAAATATCGTCCTGGGTATGGACTTTACAGAAAAGGACAGGTAATCAGTCTCACTGCAGCCTTACTGTGCATTTGGCATACTTTAATCTGATTATTATAGTTGTTCAGTTCTTTCATTTTTCTGACCCTCAGTAAAAATTGCTCTATTGGCATGGTCCTGCCCCTGTGGAGTGACACCAACATACATTTAGATGGAGATGGGTGAGTTTCAGTTTGTCCTTTTATAACATATTCAGCTGGTGAACTGCACATGGTACAAAACTACTAACGACTCCTTTCTTTTAGACTCGCTCTCATAAACATGAGTTTCTAATGTTTAAGCTTTCTGCTCATACTCAGCCAGGTCTGAAGCTGCATCTTTGTACAACTCAGACATGTATTTTGGATATTTTCTGCCTTTTAGCTTTTACTGCCCACCAGTGGCAGAGGAGTGGTTTACACTGATTTGTCTCTGCATGAGAGCAGTTGTTGCTGACCTGTTAATATGGTCTCTGGTTCTCTGCACCGGAGGAATTTTCCACTGTTTGATGTCCTGAATAGTCTCATAAACAAGCCCCATACAGTACATGTTTACAGCCCCCTCATCACTCCTCATCTCCATCTAGACTCAGACTGATCTTCCTCCTCCTCCTCTTCTTCTTTCCCACCAGAGGCTTCAGTGTGAACACCGCAGGGCGGTCACATGTCTTCAAGCCTGTATCTGTGCAGGCCATGTGGTGAGGAAATGCTTCATGTTTACCTGTGATTATTGTCTGTTTGTGTGTGCGCTTGTATAAGGAAAGGGGGTTGTGCTTTGTCCACTCTGGATGAATGCTGTCTTACATTAAGGTCAAAGCAGTTTTTACAGTATGTGTACCACCCTCAAGGCCTGTTGTTCAAGTTCATTTGGTAATGCAAATCAGAATTTATTTAGTCTTTAAACAGGAGCTTGTAACAGCTGTAATGTATAGAAATAACTGTTGCCTTTGTATTACACTTTTCTTAAAACTACATAGTCACCCGTTATTTGTAATTCCAACTACCTCCAGATTAAAGTACAACAAAATCTTGGATGGATGTCATTATTGTTTGGATCTACTATTTCTGCCATCCCTGGGGGCACACATAAATAAGAGGGATGGAAATTAAAACTTTATAAATGTCATTGTTGTCAAAATCTGTTACTTTAGCAATATGTTACTTTTAAATTTGTTAGATTAGTCATCCATCATTGGAGAGATTCCCCTGCCTTAGAGTTGATGCAGTCCCCTAAACCTAGTAATAACACTGAGCTTCACTCATCCACCAAATTAAAATCTATTTAAAAAATCTAAATGTTCATTTTTAGGTACATTTCAAACAGCTGACAAACATTGGTCATTACTGTGACTTCATTTGTGGTCCAGCATAGCTCTGGGGACCACACAGTCTGTTCAAAGACTTCCTCTTGTATCTAAAGGCCACCTGCTGGTCACTTATCAGAATTACCCATAAACAAGGGTACTTTGTTTTTTTGTTGCTATTTTCTGTCCTGAGAGCAAGCTTCTTATTTGCTTTGCACTTGTCACAATACATGACTCTTGCTGATGATTTTTGGCAGTGAGGTCTTTGCTCTGTGTCCTCCAGGTCTGCCCTGCAGGTCCTCCACAAGGCATGTGAGGTGTCACGCCGGTTCAACTACTTCCCAGGTGGCATTGCTCTCACATGGATGGCCTTCTATGAGAGTTGCATCACCTCAGAGCAAAGCTGCATCAATGAGTGGAACGCTCTGACCGATCTGGAGACCACTCGGCCCGATTCACCCACCATGTTCGTCGATGGGTGAGACTCAACACGCAGTTTTACTAAAGAAGAGAGTGGAATGTAATACATCATGTAGAAAAGCTAGGCTGTAGTTTTTTGAGCCATAAAGTTCCACATCTAGTATAATAATCCTGAAAGAAGCATGTTTTCAGATTCAAATGTGTTTCACATGGCCAGAC